GAGAGGGAATAGAAATAGACGGATCGAGAGTAAATGAGTGGGTCAATTATTAATCCTAAGCAATGTTTATAAAGTTTTTCTTAAAACAATATAAATTCACTAACAATTTGTTTCTACGCATTCCTGCTTCGAGCTTTGATTCGGACATTACGAAGTTTCACTTTTTTCACTTAGAGGGACTCCACGCTCTATTTTTTTCTCTTCATTTTTGTATATATCGAGATTGTCGACAAGGGAGCGTTCAAGTATTACGATATTCAATTTTTGGACATTTTTGACCCCTCTTCCCCCCTTCCATCGTTTTTCTGTACCCCCCTCTGCCCTTCTCTAAACGTTACGTAACAGTCAAGTGATCAATGTCATCCTACAGTCGTAAAAAACGATGTTATAGTTTGGTATAGTTTTAATCTACCAAATGAAACAAGATCATTGATATAAATGTCTTTGAAGAAATCACAGTATGAACTCTAGGAATATTGAGCACTGAACCAATATTAAATGACGTACAATGCAATCTAGGTATTCCCCGTAAAATACAAACTAAGAGGTTTGCAAACTTGCGAGAACAAATTAAAAATGTGTACATAATGTAACGTATATGAAAAGGGTTGGCTGTTTGGGGATTTCAATTAATTATTTTATTTAGAACGAATGCTACGTATAACGTAACCTCTTGTAAGAGAGAGAGACCTCCCGCCCCTGTGTTACGTAATACTTGAACGCTCCCTAATCAACTAAGTTTTAATTTAATACTATATATAACTTACTTGGTGTTTCAACTGGTCCGACAGGTAGGGACCAGTGAGAGGTGTTGTTTTAAATTTGCCAGAACTATCTCACACCTCCGATAAAACAACTGAACGCTCTTCATTTTTCTCGAATGTCTGAAAATATTTTCAAATTTTTTAAAAACCACTACGTAATATACAATCATATACATAATGTAATAGTTATCAGTTTATTATAAAATAATTAAACAAAGCAAACATTTTATTTTAGGAGAAAAGAAAAAACAAACGCCTTATAATTTTTTTAAGCGTATAACGACGATAACTGCTATTGCTATTAAAATCTATCAGACGCTTCCAAAATAATAATATCCCTACTAATATTATAAATGCGAAAGTAACTCTGTCTGTCTGTTAGGCTTTCACGCCTTAACCATTGAACTGATTTTAATGAAATTTGGTACAGAGATAGAGTTGACCTTGAGAAAGAACGTAGGACAGTTTTTATCCCAGACTTTTGAAAGGCTCTGTTGGAAACGCAATATAACAGAGTTCCACGCGGGCGAAGCTATAGGCGGAAAGCTAGTTACTTGTATAATGTATAATATACCTTGCTCATATGTATTTGATTTAGTTGTAATATGCAGTTCTATTACCTGATCATCTCCACCCACAGTTTCATCAGGAACCAGATTTTTAGATCCAGAACCCAGTGTGGTAAAGAATTTGTCGACATCTACGTCACTTGAATATTGATCTGAAAGGTAAGAGTAAATTTAAACTATTTTATTTAATTTACATAAGTGTTTTTTGTTTATTAGAAGTTATGGGACGGAATCATAGTTTTATGGGAACATTTTTTTATGCTATGTCTTCATTCGCACTGGAATCGTTGAATATTTACCAATGACAACGGTTTTATTTGTTGGACCAATTATAATCTTGATTACTGTGTGGAAACATGACGGAGTTTGTCGAATGGAACAAAGGTGTTTATATTATTATTATTTTAAAGAAGACTCAAGTCATAATCTTTTCGACACTTTGTATGGTATAGTTGAAATAGATCTTGACCTAGGTAACATTTTCAACCTACATATTAAATTAACAGTGTTTTATTAATAAATCTTGTTTAGAGATTTTTAAACATTGTTATTGATAGTATATTTACGATGTATGTGTGTTTGTCATCATAGCTATGTAACAGATCAACCGATTTCGATGTGGTTTTTGTCATTTTGAAGCCTTTTTTTTGGTTAACTTCGGTTTAGTTGTGCAATGTATAATGTTGATTGTAGATGTAGAATAGATTGTAGAATAGTAACATAGAATGTAGATTATCTTTACCAAGTGATGTAAAACATTTTTGACGTATGATTAGTTCATTAAGTCATTCGTGACAGTGTCATTGTGAAATGATAAATTAGGTCTCTATGTTTATTTTTTGTTGTTTTATAATACTTACTCTGACCACTATTTAATATATGGTATATATATATATATATATGTACATATATATATATGTACATATATATACCCTATATGTACATACCTATACATATATTAAAGCGATGACGTTTGGTTTGTTCACTTCTACGAGGGAAAGTATTTGTTGACGCGACTTGTGTGTTTGTAAAATGAATTCAACTTATTTAAGGTGTTTTGGTTTAAGATAATTAGGTAGTTTATTCTAGTTGAAGTTTGATTTGTTATTTTATAGTACTGGCTTTATAAGACATCTATATCTTTTAATTCTTTTGTACTGCTGCAATAATAACCTTCTTCTCTCACCTGTCTACCTGTCTAACTCTTATGTTCTTCTTTCCTTGGACCTGGAACAGTTGTTTCTGGGCTCCAGGGTTAGTGATCACGTGGTTAAACCAAGAGTCGTGACCTCCGTCCAGATAACGAACAGCTGGAAGGTCACGGGCAAGATCAGGTTAAAAAACACTAACAATTGGTCATAATTTCGCAAGTATTCAAGCTAGGAATGGTATATAGCTGGTATATATTTTTCGGTGCCATTTTCAGCTTGTAGCCAGAGTTTTTCTTATACATAATGTTCATAATTTCAATAATCGTGAACTTATTGATATTGGGAAGCCGTCTTTTGTATAAATCATGTATTTTGTATTAACCAATAATCATGTTTTATATAGAAAAAATAGGTAAAATAGGCAATCTTGGCTTCGATTGAACTTTTCTGACATAAAAATTCGTTTAACATAAACCGTATAAAGATATATATTTTAATTAATTTCATTGTTGTTAGTACTATTTAAACCAAAAACCGTACATTGTTTAGTTGCCTCAATATCTCACTAGATGAAGTTACTGTCTATGCAACTATCTGTCATTACATTTGTCCTCTTCGCTGTGTTTTCATTTTAACTAAATCACATTTTATTTAATAAATCCTATATTATTGCCTTATAAAATTAATAGTTCGCTGTTCTTTCATTTTAAGACATTAATTAACATATAGGTATATAATGTTCAAATAAAACTAATATTTTGTTATACTTCGCGTATTTTATTATTTTAACTACATACTATAGACGTTTCGGTTACTTTGCAACAACCGTGAACATTAGGACGAGATGAGAATTGAATGAGAATAATAATAATAAAATACGCGTAGTAATCCGAAAATATTAGTTCCATTTAAATGAATACTCAAAAGTCTTAAATCTGAAATATATCATCATCATCAGCCTATCAGAGCCCACTTCTGAGTAAAGGCCTCTTCTCATATGGAGACAGAGTGTTAATCACCATTCACCACACTTGCTTCAAACTCATAATTTGATACAAGTCCATGTTTTCTTTCATCAGTCAGTGATGTCTAAATACTCTTAGAAAGTACATATGACTCGGGACATCACATTGGTAATTGCCAGGTTTCGAACCCGCGCTCTCGTGCATGAGATGAGGGCATTAACCTCTAGGCCACCACGACTTTCATGTTATATAGTAATCATCTCTATAACTAACTGACCTCCATTCTTAAAGTATCCCAGGAACTGTTGGCTCTCATAACCCATGGACTCTCTGTGTTGTATAGCTTTACCGTTGAATTTGGACCGACAGAGAGTATAGCGGCTGCACCAGACTCATCTTGAGACGACTGGCTGCCGATCCAGTAATGGATATCAAAGGATAGATTCTTCTTTTTATCTGATGTAGTCTGAAATATATATACATGTATTATATTTATAACTCAATAACATATACGTATATGGATGAACATTGGTGGAGAGATAGATTAGAACATAGAAAGGACATAGGATATTTAATATTGTTTGATCGAAAAAAAATACTTAATAAATTCCACTATCTGGTTATTGACGGACTCTAGAGCGGAATAGAGTTCCTCCGGTCAGCTATACATATGTATATTACTAATGAAGACATTAACACGGACGAAGTCCCGGGCGAAAACTAGTATATATTATAGAAGATTACTTTAAAGATAATACATGAATCTCCTTTGTAGAATTTTTCATGTTCTGAGTCTGGTACGGCGACTGGGTCGAACTTCTGAAATCAAAGAATATTATATATTACTAGCTGACCTTGCAAACATTGTTATGCCATATAAAAAAATATAGGTTGGTGATAAAAAAGTAAAAATTTTGGGTTGTTTGTACTTTTTATAGCTACATTAAAAAATAAAAATAATAAAATTCGTCGAAAGTAAAAAAAATCAAGGATGAATAACCCTTATGACTTAGAGGTATGAAAAATAGATGTTGGCCGATTCTCAGAGCTATTCAATATGCTCTCAAAATTAGTATCTCATATTGGACTTTAAAGAATAAGTAATACAAAATATCCTTATTCTTATATATTATATTGGAATAAAGTATCTTATCTAGTTTTTACATGATAGACTACTTAGAACCGAAAGTTCTATGCTTTAGAAAATAAGTTGTGTCTTATCGCTCTGGGATCTTACTCTATTATATAGAAATGAATTTTTAGTTTGAATTATCAAGTGCATAAAAATGTATTGATTTAGTGCAAAATATAAAGAGATTTTTAAAGGAACTCGTGATGACCTTGAATTATAAAGAAGTTCAAATTATCACAGTTTGGAACTGTACATATGTTTGTATTACACATAAACATTCACTTATATACACTACCGTGTCAAAAGTAAATAGACACCTACAGGTGAAAAGATTTATTAAAAATATGAAAGCGGGTAGTTATAAAAAAAATATTACAGTATAGTAGGAAGTAATCTCAGTTTATTTATACGATTTTAAAATGCCGCGGACAAGTGGGTCACTAGAATTAAGCGATTTTACTCGAGGACGCATTGTTGGCCAATATGAAGGTGGTAAATCTCAGCGTGAAATCAGTGCTGGATTAAATGTGCCGTTGTCTACCGTTAATCGTGTCATCGTGCAGTTCCAAAGGAATAAGAAGACAAGTGTTTCCCCACGATCAGGAAGACCTGGACCTTCTGACGGGCAAAAACGAGCGTTAGTTCGTGAAGTTTTAAGAAATCCCGAAAAATCTGTTAATGATGTGGCTGTAACCTCAAATTTATCACGAAGAACTGTTCAGAGGTACTTACATAGTCTTGGCTTTTATAAGAGAGTAGCAAAAAAGAAACCTCTGTTGACAAAATTTCAAAAAAAAAGGAGATATGATTGGTCACAAGAAATGATTTGTAAGGATCTTAACTTTTGGAGGCACGTGATTTTTTCGGATGAATCCAGATATTGCCAATTCAGTGACAGTGGACGAAAATGGGTGTGGCGTCGCTCTGTAATGCAATTGGAAGACCGATATTTACAGCAAACTGTGAAATACGGCGGTATGAGTGTTATGGTTTGGGGGGCTATTTGGTACGGCGGTAGAAGTCGTTTGGTGTTCTGTGAAGGGACAATAAATGCTGAAAAATATATTGACATTTTAAAAGAGGGACTCCTACCAATCTTTGATGAAAGAAATTTGAAACGCGAAGATTACTTTTTCATGGAAGATGGGGCACCATCCCATAGAGCTAAAAAAACAACTGCCTGGAAATCCCAAAAAAGGCTTAATATTCTCCCGTGGCCAGGTCAATCGCCCGATATGAACCCTATTGAGAATGTCTGGCACATTTTGCAAATGAATATTGCGAAAAGACCTCAGAAGCCCTCGAATAAAAAAGAATTAGAGGCGATGTTGATTGAGGAATGGAGTAATTTAAGGGAAGATCAGATCGATGGTTTGATAGATACTATGACAGCTAGGATAAAAACCTTATCTGAAAAAAAAGGAGGATCGACACAGTATTAATTATCATCTATTAGTTTTTTAATTAAGTAAAAAGTTTTTTTGTAATAAATATTTTTTTGAAAACTGCCCTGTCTATTTACTTTTGACACAGTAGTGTATATTACATATAGATGGAGCAAAACAAGTTTTACTTCAGCCGTGAGGTCTTAAACACATTGTTTTTAATTTGTTTTTTAATAAATTAGTATTTGTATTACATGAAAATGCTGGCCGATAATTATAAAAGCGAAATGCTAAAACTACATTTAATAGAATTTTAGAGTGTACAAACCATAGAATGATAACTATACAAATTAGTTACAGAAATGCAACATACCTTATACTGTCTATAAAAATTATGTTCAGTAGCCAACATAGGATTAATAGAAAATTTAATAAAAATATTTTTTTATTGACATTAACTATTATGTTAATAAAAATTTTACTATTTACATATTTTTCAATGCCAAAGCTTAATAGTATGGTTGCAATGATTACGGTTTTATAAATGAGATAAAAGAATATCCAATACAAAAAAAAATTAATATCATTCATTATTATAAGAACAAATATTTGAAGAAAAAATCATGCATGTTATTCAGACACCTACACTTCAGTGCATATTTCGAAGAGGAATTTTTTCGTAAAATTATCTACTAAAATTAATCTTTAAAACCAATAATATAAATCTGATAACGTAAAAATATTATTTAAAATGTGATAAAACCTTTTTATTACATATTCCTGCATTGTTTTCTTGTAAAACATACGTCTTTTTCATTTAATATGTTGTAATTTTATTGTAGTAATTTCGTCAAGAATATATAGTTAATGGTTTATATAGATTATTTTACAAATATGGTCAATACTTACCTTGTAATTACGATATTAAACACACAGCACTAAAACCAATCAATACAAAAAGCAGATTCTAACCTATTGGAGCCCGTTCGGTATGTTAAAGTCGGTGAAAAGCTATGAAAACCTATCAGCAACAATCTTCTAGATGCTAGCTTGAATAATTTATTTCAATTTTTATTTAAATTTTATTAATTATAACAAATAAAGTGTATTTTGTGTATCGTCACTAAAGAAAGAATCACTGTTATTGTGCAAGTAGACTTTGACAATGACACTGTCAAAGTATGAATCAAGAATAATGGGTTTATTATTTAGTCTTTGAACTTATAAAATTCTGTTATCAATAGTTATTAAAAAGAAATTCATATTAGAAATATGAGATTTTAAGTTATCTGGTAAATTAAAATACCAATTCTTATACTATACTTATGACTATTTATAAGAAATTAAAATATAAAGTTATATACAGAATTTATAAAATTTACCTACCAGTATTTTTACAATTTTATAAGTAAACTAGTTTTTGCCCGCGACTTCGTCCGCGTTAATTTCGTCATTAGTAATATAGGTATAGCTGACCGGGCGAACTCTATTCCGTCTTCAATAACCCGGTATTGGTATTTATTAAATTTCTACTGTTTCAATCGAACAGAATGATTGATATATTAGTAAGTTGTCAAGTCTAATGTCAAAAAATCGTTTGTATGGGAAATAGAGAAGGGCTGTTTTTAGGGTTTTTTCGGTAATCATTCCAATTTTTCTCACCTTTTAAACCTTCCCTGGACTTCCAGGAGTATTTCAAGACTAAAATTAGCCAAATCGGTTCAGCCGTTCTCGAGTTTTAGCGAGACTAAGGAACAGCAATCCATTTTTATATATATAGAAGACTAGTAAACCTGGCGAACTCCGTTTCTGTAAAACAAGCCAAAACAAAAATTATTTCTTGGCTCTCCTCGTTAACCTACAATACCACCGAAGAACTATTCTTGCACCTAGTATAGCACCTTTTAACTAACATAACTTGTATCATGTAACTTGTAACCTAAACTATGCAATGTATCGAGCGACAACATTAAACATATTTGTAAATCTATCAATTGGTACCCACGACACAGGAATACCTAGTGTGGGTACCACCGGACATTTCTTCGTATCATGTTGTGTTTTTTTTTTGTTAATAAATATTTTTTCATTTTCATTTTCACCAGAAGGCTTTTATTTCGTTTGGTGATTAAAATATGAAGATTTTTTTTTGTTTTATATTTGAAAAGGAAAATTTTTATTTCATTTCACAATTGTAATAAATTCATTTCGATTACAAAAATGAAGTGTTATTTAGTTGAACTTCTCTAAGTACATGAAAGTGAATCCAAAGTAGATACCGAATCGAAGCGTTATACGTGTCCGCAAATTACCCGTTTCATTGAAGTGGTCCTTTGTAAACCAGATTTTTTGTTTTTTGGTCTAACTTTAACACAAATAAAGCGGATGGTTTCCAAACTCGTGAACACGCAAAATATAACGCCCATGTGAAAAACAATGTTTTCTAAATTTACCCCGCAAATATTAAATGGTTTTAAGAGTTCAAACTACAAACACAATACCGGTTTGTCACATCAAATTAACTGAGCAGAGAACAATGAGTAGCTGTCAACCAATGTATATTATGCACCGGCACCATTTATTTAAAATATTGATTAGTAGTACATGTTATGTGTGATGGCGCTGTATGTGAAAAAAGATATTCCCGCTTTTCTGTTGAAATTTTTTGTTATATACCTCACGGAATCCGAGACCTTTCCAACGAATGCAAAACCGTGGAAATTAGTTCGTTCCGGACCGGACTTATTTTTATTTTTTATATAGTAGATCTCTTACAAATATCTAATTGTCATCATTACGTCATTACATATCTGTCATTATACGTCAATTGCATAGCTGTCAATTGTGTTTCGTTATTCCACGTTTTATAGTGACTGACGTTTAATGTCAAGTCCCACGGGAATGCTGTCGAACGGGATAAAAAGTATCCTATTGCAATTTCCTGGTTCTAAACTACCTCCTTGCCAATTTTCAGCCAAAATCGGTTCCGCCGTTCTTTTGTTATAAGTGGAATCACTAACACGACTTTCTTTTATATATTTAGATGTATTTCTACTCACAGATCCCAGCGATAGCAAACTCTCGAACTGCCTCAAGATCTTGAACCGCGTCAATATATACATACCGGAGCTATTACCCGCCATCCCACATCAACCGTGTTTGGGAATGTTATGTAGAAGCCTATCTATGAACCAATTTTATAAGTACAAAGAAAATTTCTATATATTATGTCACGGTAACGGCTTATATCCCTACAAATATTATAAATGCGAAAGTAACTCTGTCTGTCTGTTACGCTTTCATGCCTAAACCACTGAATTGATTTTAATGAAATTTGGTACAGACATAGAGTTGACCTTGAGAAAGAACATAGGATAGTTTTTATCCCAGACTTTTGAAAGGTTCTCTTGGAAACGCGATATAACGGAACTCCACGCGGGCGAAGCTGCGGGCGGAAAGCTAGTTAAATATAAAAGTACGACATATCTTTTTAATATAACGGTACCCTTACAGATATCTAATCATAATATGAGGTGATAGTCCGGTCAAATTAGACCAAATGATAACAGTCAGGTTACATAAATTCCCACCAAGCTGAACATCGGTAAGATTGTTTGAAATATCATTAAAAACAAAATTTGAAAGTTCCCCATCTTTCCTCTGTAAGGAAAAAATTTATTCAAGGTCAAAGGTAAACAAAATGAGTTTTTCGCGATATTCAGCAAAACGATAAGTTTATCATAAAAATATCCCATACAAAAATTTAAGATCATAAAATTATCTACAAAGAATTACTTTATACTTTTTTTCTACGAGCCACCGTTTTTGAGATATAACGATTCAAAAAGTTGTAAAAGTTGTAATCGTCATAATATGCACACGTTTCCTCGCCACCTTTGAGGTAGTGTACTTAGCTTTTTTTTGTATCTTTCCCAGTAGGTCTATTCCACGGGTCAGTTTTGATCTTGTTTAATGTGAAACTATTGATAAATAATGGATATTAGCAGAGATTGAAAAGATAAAAGCAATTGAAGTTTAAAAAAAGTAGTGAAATTTAATCGTCCGATGTCGTAATTTTCAAAAGGCGCATTTCAGGCGCAGGTGGAGTTAAGTGTAAAAATATTTAAACACTAGCTTCTGCCGCGACTCCGTCCGCGCGGAATAGTGACTTCCGGCAGATTTTTGGTTCTTCCCACATAGTTCGAATCGAATGGTCGAGTTCCTGTAGAATTTTCAGGATAAAACCTATGTTTTTTTTATTCACAATGAAGTACTCTTAACCAACAACATATTTATTTGTTTATTTGAATAAAGATTAATATTATTATGTTGATACAACTTAAACAAATTATTTCGACCAAATTAGGTACCATAAAAACGGTTTTTGTGAGTTAATCTTAAAAGATAGACAAATACTGTCGCGGACTGTTTATTAGATCATCAAAAGATCTATTATTCTTTAATACATATTTTTTGCGTATCTTGAAATGTTTTCACGGCACACGCAACGGAAGGCTTCAAAGATGAAATAATTTCTCCCGTTTTTTACACATTTACCACTATATCTTTGCTCCTATTGGTCGTAGCGTGATGTTATATATTCCTCGATAACTTCCTCGATAACTGGACTATCCGACACAAAAAGAATTATTCAATTCGAACGAGTAGTTTCGGAGAATAGCGCTTTCAAACAAACAAACAAACAAACAAACTCTTCAGCTTTATAATATTAGTATAGATATATTACAACTATAGAGATGTACGAGTATACATATACATACATATACGTGGCATACTCATGCATATTATGACGATTACAACTTTTTGAATCGTTATATCTCAAAAACGGTGGCTCGTAGAACAAAAAGTATTAATTAATTCTTTGTAGATAATTTTATGATCTACAATTTTTGTCTGAGATATTTTTATGATTTTTGCTTAGCGTTTTGCTGAATATCGCGAAAAACTCATTTTTTTACCTTTGACCTTGAATAACACTTTTTCCTTACTGAGGAAAGATGGGGAACTTTCAAATTTTGTTTTTAATAATATTTCAA